AAAGTATTCTGCCTTCTGATCAGATGGAAGGCTTTGACAAGGAGCAAATACAGCTCTCAGTTAGTATCAGGGGGATTCCAGTACCCTCAGCACAACTTGGGTTCCTCAGTGGGCACTGGAGTAGGATGTGAAATGTGATCTTGAACTCTCCTTTTGTTTGTATAGAATTAGGGAAGTAAGATTTGCTATCGGATATTTTGTAGATGTCATCCAAGGTAAGTGTATTAAGTAGAGAATGTGGAAGCTTAGAAAGATTTAGAGTGGCTTCACTTAGTTTTGGACTTTATAACACTGTGAGAAAGTATCACTTAGTAATTCCATATCTCTTTCAATTAATATTCAGAGTTCCACAAGGAATTCAACAGTCTCACTTTACCACCTTAATCACTTTTTGTTGTTGTTGTTGTTGTTGCTCATGGGGATTGAACTCTGGGCCTGGGCACTGTCCCTAAGCTCTTCAGCTCAAGGTGAGCACTTTACCACTTAAGATACAGCACCAAGTGGAGCTGTGGCTCAAGCAGTAGAGCGCTCGCCTTGAGCTGAAGAGTGCAGGGACAGTGCCCAAGCCCAGAGTTCAAGCCCCATGACTGACCAAAAAAAACAAAAACAAAACAAACAACAACAACAACAAAAAAGATACAGCACCACTTCTGGTTTTCTCCAGTTAAAATTTTGCTGCCCGGGCTGGCTTTGAACTGCAATCCTCAGTTCTTAGCCTCCTGAGTAGCTAGGATTACAGGCGTGAGCCACTGGCACCCGGCCACCTTAACCACTTTTTTTTTTTTTTTTTTTTTTTTTTTTTTTTTGGGGGGGGGTCCAGTTGTGGGGCCTGAACTCTGGGCCTGGGCGCTGTCCCTCAGCTCTTCAGCTCAAGGCTAGCGCTCTACCACTTGAGGCACAGCGCCACTTCCGGCTTTTTTCTTTTTGCTTATGTGGTGCTGAGGAATCAAACCCAGGGCCTCAGGCATGCAAGGCAAGCGCTCTACCACTGAGCCAACTTCCCAGCCCCTCACCTTAACCACTTTTAAGTGTATATTTCAATAACTTTAAGTATACTTCCAGCCCTCTACATAGGTAAATTCCACATCCTCAGATTCAATTAACTGATAGAAAATAATTGGAGAAAAAAACATCTGTGCCAAAAATGTACAGATCACTTTTCTTGTCATGATTCCCTAAACTATATAGTATAAGAAATGTTTGTTTAGTGTTTGTGTCATTTGAGGCATTTACATGTCATCTAGCATGATTTGGAGTATAGGAGAGAATATTGCAGGTTCTGTGCATATGTATTGCCATGATGCTCTAGGTGATTTAACCATCCTTGGATTCTGGTACTCACAGGGACTTCCAGCAGCCAGTTTCCTGTGGATACTGAGGGACAACTTTAATCACACTGTGACACCACTCTAGAATGCTGTTTTTGTTTTGTAAAACTGAAACTATACTTGTTTTTTAATTTTTATTTTTTTATTGTAAAGATACTGTACAGAGAGTTACAGTTACATGAATAAGGTAATGAGTACTTTGAGCATTGTTACCCCCTCCTTTGTTTTTCCCCTACTATCCTCTACTTGTTAACCAACAGCTCCCTAGGCCCAATTCACCCCAGCTCTGAGTTCACCATTTGACTTCTCCCTGTAAATTTCTCTATTCCAGATACTTCCTGAGTGGAGTCATGTTGGGGCCTATTTCATTTAGCATGTCCTTGAGGTTTGTGTTATCACTTTGGATGGCATTCCTTCTTTTTAAAGTGGAATGTTGCTCCCTGCTGTGCATGGCCCTCACAATTCTTAACTACAGTGTTTTCTAGAGTCCTTCTGTTTTTCAGTTTCCCATCTGACTAGAATTGAGAGTGAGTTGTGAACCATATTCTCCTTCCTGCCACAGACTTGATTCTGAGTTATTGTATTCATTGTAACCCCCCTCCCTCTCTCTCTTTCTCTCTTTCTCTCCCTCTGTGTGTGTTGGTACTGGGGCTTGACCTCAGGGTTTTTTGTTCAAGGCTAATGTCTGTCAGCTGTACCTCCAGTTCTGGCAAAATTTTCCACTTCCCCAAAGTGTGTTGGTATGAGGCTGTTGGTATGAGGCTACGTCAGTATGAAGCCATTGGGAGCCATGGAACATTTACCACTGGGGATCCGACCTAGTGCACACCAGGCTAGAAGCCAGCCAACCACATTGGCTCAGGGAACTAGCTCTCCAAAGGTTCATTTTCTCTTCCCATTAAAGAATTAAAAGGCAGAAAACTGTTTAAGGTAAACTGAGTAAGTTTATTTGAAAGTGAAAAGAAAGCTGTGAAAGTAACTAATGAAGCTCTCCATCTGGAGAGGGGCCCAGAGTCCAATGGTGTCCTCTGGGAGGGCCATTATTATAGCATGGGGCTCCTCCCGTATCTCCTCCCTTGGCTGTGTGCTGCTTGTCTGATGGCCTGTGCATGTGCAGCCCTGGCTTTTTTCGTTGGTTGCCAGGAACCCAGGGCAATATGGGAAGAAGAAGCATTTGAGTAGAAAGAAACATTTGAGGTAGAACATGAGGCATCATGGGAACAAGAACTGCTCTGATGGAACATGTTATTGGCTACATGTTATGTTGCCACTTTGTATCCCTAACAGTTCCCCTTTCTGTCTCTCATTTTGCTATCATTTACTAACTTACTTTACTTACTTACTCATTTATTTACTTATTTATTTTGTAGTTGTGTAATTCCTGAGGCTTGAATTTAAGGCATAGGTGCTGTCCCTGAACTTTTGTGCTCAAAGCCAGCACCCAACCACTTGAGCCACAGCTCCTCTTCTGGCTTTTTGGTAGCTAGCTGGAGATAAGGGTCTTACAGACTTTCCTGCCTGTTCTGGCTTCAAACTGCTATCCTTAGATCTTAGCCTCCTGACTAGCCAGGATTATAGGAATGAGCTACCAGTGCCTGGTTTGGAGTCCTATTTTTGACACAGCCCCTCAGCTCCAGATTATGACTCCCTTTAGCTATTCCAGTGCAGCTCACCATGTCTACTTGCCAGTATCTCCAGAAGAAGTAATAATTGTGTAAGAAGTCTATACCTAGGATTGGACTTGGTCTAAGTGCTTACCTAACAATCGCTTCAGAGACTCTCAATCCCTCTTTCTCCTGCGGCTGTAAGCAATAGCTAACTGACGGTTCATGAAATGGTTAGATCCAGACTAGACAGTAAGAATCTATGTCCCAACAACTTTGCTACCATCTAAAAATCATTTTTTTTCTTCTGGAAATGGGGTATGGACTTGAGGCCTCAGTTTTGCTTGGATTGCTTGCTCAGCTGATGCTCTTACCACTCAAGCCACACCTCACACTTCTAGCTCACCTTTTTGCTATTTATTAAGTCTTGAGGACTTTTCTGCTTGACTGGCCCCAATCTGCCACCTTCAGCATCTCAGTATCTTCTTCCTCTCCCTCTCTCTCGCTTCCCCTTTACTCTCCCTCCTCCCCCCCCCCCCCCCTTTCATTTTCTGTGCCGGTACTGAGGCTTGAACTCAGGGCTTCATACTTTCCTTTGGCTTTTTTTCCTTAAGACAAGGCTGGTGCTCTACCACTAAAGCCACACCTCCATTTCCAGCTTTATTTTTGGTAGATAACTGGAGATAAGAGTCTTACAGGTTTTCCTGCCCAGGCTGGCTTTGAACCAAGATCCTCAGATCTCAGCCTTCTGCATAGCTAGGATTACAAGTTTGGACCACTGGTGCCTGGCTTTTAACATTTCTTTTTAATGGGTTGTGTATCTGGTGGACACACAGAGACACACTTAGAACACTCTGTATTTCTAATGCTAGAGTGGTACCAGATTTCTTATTTTATACTGCACATGGACACTTGCAAAATTTCACTTCACAAAGATACAACACCCTTCAAAGCAATACAATATGCTCTCACATTTAAGTCAGGAGCAGCTCAGAGCAAGCAGCTTGCATGACATCTGGCATTTAAAATATCCCTGCAGAGCTCCTCAGTAAATTCTTGCAGGTCCTCTCGGCATAAAGTAATGTGGAGTTACTTCATTGGGTCCATATCGTAATCTTATGATGTCAGTGTTCTCTCTGTCTCTCTTTCTCTCTCTGTTTCTCTCTGTCTCTCTTTCTCTGTCTCTCTCTGTCTCTGCCTCTCTCTGTCTCTGTCTCTCTGTCTCTCTGTCTTTTTTTTTTTTTTTTTTTTTTTTTAGGTCCAGTTGTGGGGCCTGAACTCTGGGCCTGAGCACTGTCCCTCAGCTCTTCAGCTCAAGGCTAGCGCTCTACCACTTGAGCCACAGCGCCACTTCCGGCTTTTTTCTTTTTGCTTATGTGATGCTGAGGAATCGAACCCAGGGCCTCAGGCATGCAAGGCAAGCGCTCTACCACTGAGCCAACTTCCCAGCCCCTGTCTATCTGTCTTTATCTCTGTCTCTCTCTGTCTCTCTGTCTGTCGGTCTGTCTCTCTCTCTCTCTCTCTCTGTGTCTCTCTCGTACCAGTCCTGGGCTGGCACTCAGGGCCTGGGAACTGTCTTTGTGCTTTTTTGCTCAAGGCTGCCACTCTACCACTTGAGCCATAGCTCTACTTTTTATTTTTCTGGAAAATTGGAGATCAGAACCTTACAGACTTTTCTGTCCAGGCTAACCTTGAACTGTGATCCTCAGATTTCAGCCTCCTGAGTAGCTATGATTACAGGCATGATCCACCAACACCCAGCTCTCATTTTAAACATTGAAGCGAAAGCTCAGAGAAGCCAAGCTCTTGATCAAAGACCATGTGGCTGATGGATGGTGGAGCCACACAATCACCACATCCCCCTAATGCTCTGGTTATGTTTTTAACTATGAACTGGATGGTGTGCATTGTGCAGTTCTGGGGTCCTGAGCACAGGCTACTTTCCTTTTGGCCTCTGGAGCCAGATGGAATCAGTCTTGTTCCTTTGAGCCTCAGTCCTTTGCTTTCACCAAACCTTAAGAGACAAGGCTTGGTCTATGATGAAATCTGTTCTCCCTCCTTCCTCCAGGAGGCCCACTGTGCTCTTGCTGCGTCCCAGACCCCATGGGCCTCTCCTTCCTTCCCACCTATGGCTGCCAGAGCAACCGCACAGCCAGTGTGGCAGCCCTGCGCATGAAGGCCCGGGAGCACTCAGAAGCTGTCCTCCAGTCGGCCAACCTCCTGCCATCTACCAGCGGCAGCCCCAGCCCGGCCACCAAGCCAGCACCCCCGGACGGCAGCCAAGACAAGACCCCTCCCACCAAGGAACAGAGCGAAGGAGAGAAGAGTGTTTGAGAGTCCAGAGTACCCTGCCTGGTGTGCCCTCTCCCATGCTCCTGCTTTCCCCAGCCAGCCTCAGCCCTGCAAACTCAGAACAGCAAGGAGACGCTTGCTGCTTGGGCCTCCTCCTCATGGATGCAGGATGGGAACTCCATGCCTGCAGCTCCCTTGGCGCCTGGACAGTCCCCTCTGGAGTCCCACCGTTGGGCTGTGTTGTCCTGGCTCTTTTTGGTGTCATGTCCCTGGTACTGGGGGAATCTGGAAGTCACTCTCTGATGAGACCCCTGGGATTTTTCCATCCAGACCTAGAAGTCTGGAGAGAGGGGGATTATGGCTCCTGTCCCCTCCTTGGGTCACCTTTGAAGGTCTTGTCAACTCCAGGTACTGTGGTGTAGACCATCCCAGAGAGATAATCAGGGCTTAAATCTCATGATAGGAGATGGGACTGAACATGTTACATTGCTTAAGAACCTCAGAACTGGTGGACTCCCAACCAACTGTTGTTGGTCAAGACTTTTATCTTGTTGAGGGGTATTTCTGATGATGGGCGTGGTTTGAAGGTGAGGTAATGTGGGGGTGGAGAAGGGCTGAGGGGACACAGCATGTTCCCAGGGAACATGATGGCACTGCCCTGGCAGGAGTCTCTCTGCTGGCCATATCTGGCCAGGGAGGCCAGGACATTCTGACTGGCCTTGAACTCCGTGACCTGGGAGCTGCCATCTTGACACTGTGGGCAGAAAGCAAGCCCTTGCAATGGAACTGCCTATCACAGGGTCCTGCCTCTTGCCGGAAGAGATCTGGAGATTGGTAGGAAATTGACCAACTGGAAATCAGCTTTCTGGCCCAGGCAAGGATGAGACCCTTGCTGAAGAGGAAGCTTCTAAAAATGCCTCCTAAATACTTAGGCATCCAGATGCCTCACCTCTCAACAAGTATCTATCTGGTACATGGAGGACCATCTCCAGAGATGATTTTTTTTTTTAACTGGAGGGAAGAAAAGTAGGAAATGAGATGAGACAAGACTGGTAGATGGGCAGAGAAGAAACTTATGAAAGATGGTTTCCTTGTGGTATGGAGAGAATGGATTCCCCAAAGCCAAATTTCTTAGGATTTCTGTTTCAATCAAGTGGGACTATTTGCTCTTGCATAGATGGTGACTTTGAAGAGATCAAAGGGAGAAATGTGCAATACCGTGAGCCCTGCCCCTCACCTACTCCTACAAGGTGTTGGGGGTCTTTTGATGGCTTTTGCTGATGATTTTTTTCCATGCAAAAACAGTTATTGCTTTGATGGTGATTTTTCTTCCAGTTATTATAATCAAATGGTTCTACTTTCAGATCCTCTGCCCTCTTTTTAGCCTCCTTCCAATATTTCCCCCAATAATACTCCCATGTGTATTGTGCCTCGTCTATAATTACCACAAAGTGTTTGAAAAAACACTGTCTCCTTTAAAAAAAATCAGATCCTTCCTCCTGCTGTATTTTGCTTGTTGAGTACAAAGATGAAACAATTTGCCAAAAAGCTTCTGTTTCCCTGTAATTACGAATGTTCCGTTGAGCGATGTAAGCTCGAGCCCTTATGCACACTAAGTCTTCAATCTAATTGTTTGATTAAACTCGTATTTCCTCCAGAAAGGTACATAAATAAGTGAACTGTTGGGCAAATTAAGAATACTTAACAGCATTGCATCCGAAAAGTAGTTACGCTGATTAAATTTTGTGTCCTTGAGGACTTTCAGGAAATTACTTTTGATCGTCAATAACACAATTAAGTAAACTACACACACATTAGCATGAATAATTGATAAGAAATTATGTATTACCACGAAGCACTGATTTAATAATTCATGACGCAACACTCCAGTGACTGTGCAAAACTGGAAAACATCAAAAAAAATCTGCCTGACGTTACGGAAAGAAGGGGAAAAAGCCAGCGCCAAATCTCTGCAGAAATATTGAGTACTTAGTTTTGTTGTACAAAGGCAAAACAACAACAAGAAGAAAAAAACAAAAACAAAAAGTAACTGGTGCATGATGTAGTTTTTGTTTGTTTAAATACCCAAATAAATTTAGAAGAGTTAAAACAAAAACCTAAAGATTTCAGGTCCTCTCTTTGTTCTTTCTGGTCCTGGTCCTGAGGCTGTGGTGTGGGGTGGGTTCTGTGGCTCTGTACTCCTCTACTTTGGCCAGTATGCAAATGGAACCTCTCAGAAACTTCCAGAAAGGCTTTGAGGCTTTGGCTTGGGAACCTTCTCAGCAGATGCTGGGACAAGACAGAGTCTCCTGTGTAAGCTAGAGTTCTCCCCAGGTGCCTGTGCCACTAGGAGTCAGGCTTTGGTCCCCGGAAGGATGGGCATGGCCTTGTTCATTCCTCTTCAAGGCCGTCCTTGGTGAAGAACCCTTTGGGGCAGCGTGGGTAGAAACTTGCAGATTGCCCTGCTTCCAGATGTTCATAAGATGACTGTAAAAGGCAGCTGAGCTTCAGTCTGGGAAGGAGGCCCAAGCTCCGGGGATTGATTGATTGATTAATAATTATTATTCATTTATTAGTTGAAGCACTCCAAAGAGCATGTCTTAATGCACTCCAGGCTGGGAGAATAGAGCCTAGAAGCCACTGAAATCAGGGCCTGGGCAGTGGCCTGGCCCATCCCACTCATCCCATGCATCCCATGCATCCTATCTGAGAGGAGCCCTGAGAGGAGGAGACACAGTCAGGAGACAGGGGCAGGGTAGGCTGCTTTGGCATAAGACACTGGGGAGCTCATCTTTTCTCTTCCTCCTTTTCTTTTCTTTTCTCTCTTTCTTTTTCATCCTTCCTTTCCTTTCCTTTCTTTTCCTTTTCCCCTCCCTTCTTCTCTTCCCTTTTCCCCCTCCCTTCCTCCCTCCTTTTCCTTTCCTTCCTTCTTTCCTCCTTCCTTCCTTCCTTCCTTCCTTCCTTCCTTCCTTCCTTCCTTCCTTCTTTCCTTCCTTCCCTTGCTTATTTATGCAAGACCAGCTCCTGGGTCTTCCTTAGATTCACTAGCTAATTGTGTGTGTGTGTGTGTGTGTGTGTGTGTGTGTGTGTGTGTGTATGTGTGTGTACTAGGATTTGAACTCAGGATCTCATGCTTCCCTTTGGCTTTTTTACTCAAGACTAGCACTACTGCTTAAGCCATTTCTCCATTTCTGGCTTTTTGCTGATTAAGTGGAGACAAGAATCTCATGAGTTTGGTGCCAGTGGCTCATTCTTATAACCCTATCTACTGAGAAGGCTGAGATCTGAGGATGGCAGTTCAAAGTCAGTCCAGACAGGAAAAGTCCATGAGACTCTTATCTCCAATTACAGAAAAAAGCCAGAAATAGAGTGCTAGCCTTGAGCAAAAGAAGCTCAGGGACAGTGTCCAGGCCCTAAGTTCAAGGCCCAGCAATGGTAAAAAATGGTAAAAAAAAAAAAAAAATCAAAAGAATCTAATAGACTTTTCTTCCTAGGCTGACTTTGAACTGTCTAGAATTACAGATGTGAGCCCCCAGTGCCAGATAAGCTCAGCTAATTTAATTCCAACAGTCAATCTATAAGGTAAACACAGATTGTGTATCTCCAAAGTCGGAGATGCTTCAAAACTAACAATTCTTCATGAGTGTTGACATGACATCACAAATGGGAAATTCCATACCATAAGAACTGGTTTTATATACAAAATTACTAAAAAGATTGTATAAAATTACCTTGGGGCTGTGTAAAGTGCCTATGAAACCTATGTGAATTTTGTGGTTCCCTTCTCAAGATGCTTATGCAAATATTTCCAAATCTGAAAAAAGTATCCCATATCTGAAACACTTTAATCTCCAGCATTCTGGATAAGGGATGTACAGCTCTGTTCCTATTTGTCAGATAGGGAAACTGAGGCCAGGAGGGTAGGGCGACTGGCTGGTGGCCATGTTGTTTTCTGTCATACAATGAACACTTAACAGGTGAATTTTTAGGATGAACTGTTTCCTTAAGACCCTAGAAAGCAGTCAAGGGTCCTGGTGTGTTTGAAAGACTGCGAGTATTAGCCTGTCAGGAGCGGGTCCCAAAGAGATTTGATGGTACCCAGAGGTTCTTAGGCCTCTCAGACGTGTGCATATGTGTTTTAGAGGAGGCCACCACCAAGGTATTCCAAGATTTAACCACTCCACGTAAAGGACACTCTTTTCTTAATTTTCTGGCTTCACAAGATAATGTAAAACGTTGACAAACGCGGAGTCCAGCTTTGCAGACGAAGAGTACATTTGGCCTGTTTGAAATCCAACCTCTTGACACTGTATGATTGTGGGTAAGTCATTATTAACCTCTCTGTGCTTTGGTACACTCTTGCGTGATGAATGCACAGCCTCACAAGGTCACAATGTAAAGTGAATTCACACCATGTCAAGGGCTTGAGGATGTTCCTTAGGCAAAGTCTTGCAAGAAGGAGACAAGATGGTTGGGCTCTGAGTTACCAAGCCTACAGAGGGAGTTGGAGTGGCCACCTCTCTTTCCTGAGTACCCCCACAAGGTGTGTAGGACTTCCAAGAGGAGGCCTGTCCTCTGGTCTGAGGCCAGGGAAGGCAACTGAGGACTTGCCCTGGAACCTGACAGGCAGGCACTGAAGCATGATGGGAGCACAGGGAGGGAAGACAATGTTTTAGCTGCAGGGCAAGTTGAGACCAGTGTTAGTCTGAAGTGGAAGTGAGAAGGTGGGACAGGCACCAGGAGCTAGGAGAGCAACTCCTCTTCCTCCTTTGCTTCCCCACCCTGCAGTTCTGCCCCCCTTCTGCTTCTTCTCTTTGCACCTAGACTCCAGTCTTAGCTCAGCATTGATTCCCTGTGTTTGGGAATCCTGCCACCATGGTGAGTGAATGCAGTTGGTGCAGCATGGCTGGGCAAATGCCTCTGGTCCAATCAGGCATGGTATCCTGGCTGCCTTGACCCTGTGAGCCCGAGGAGCACTGGATACCCTTCTCTGGGTCCTGGGCAGAGTCTAGGATGTGCCCACTGCAGGGAGACCACATCAG